TCTAATGTATCAAAGACCAAAAGCAAAACAAAAGCCATTCTGCTTTCAGCAGAGGCAGTGATCTCATGAAGCTTTGCTTGAGGCATTGTGCTGCTTGTAAGGTTATTAAGTTTAAGGAGCTGATCCTAGTGTGTAGCAGTTGCTTTGGGAAGCATTCTTTATTTCTACTTGCTGTCACCTTGTTGATTCCTCCTTTCTGATTTTTTTTTCCCGAGGACCTTGGCTTTTGTTAAATTGAATGGCACTTCTTCAGTACTGCTGTTATTTTAAATATACGTCAGAATCTTGCTCATTCTCTAAGGTCTTGCAGCTCAACTATAAAATTTGCCTATGGCTGAGAGTTAGCAAGAAGCATTTCAGCTTTGGAATGAAAAGATTGCTTTCTTCTTTTCTTACATCTAAAAAAAAATGTAGTTGAGCTATTTTCAAGTTACAGGAACATGTAAAAATCCATCTATGGGTTTCAGGCATCTTTTGTGTTGACTGGGTTTAAAAATGCTCTGATTTAAAACTTGCTGGTAGCCTATAATGTGAATTATGGCCTTTTAAAATTTCAAAGCATATTAAAAATAAAATCTGTGGCATGAACCAGGCGGAACAGTGATGCGTTATTCAGAGTGATTTTTAAATTTTATTTTCAAGTGAGATTTTGTTGGAAACTGTTGATCCATACTATATAAATCAAGTATGTCTGTTATCATAGTAGTTAAATGTCAATTTGCTTACCGTTGTTAAATATTCATTCAGTGCGTTCATTGTTACAGCTCCAGGAGGACCCGCTAAGGATATAAATACACTTTTTCAGACTTTTAGCTAAATCTTTGAACTATTCATAATATTGGAGGAGAGGGCGGGGGCGAAAAAGCTTCCAGAGTCACTGCACAGACTTTGCCAACAGGCTGGGCATGTTAGCGGCATGTCAGAAACCCAGAGCTTCAAGGGTAAATGGACCCAAACAGTCTGTGCAGCCTTCAACAGCTGAAAGCTCCATCATTTCTTTAATGCAATTCAAGCAGTTATGTTTGAAGTAGATTGATTATCAAACAACTGAATAGAAAGCTTCCCTAAAATGAACTGAATTAACCCTGGTAGTAACTTCCCAGACTAATCATTTCTCCAGTCGTTTCTCCTTTGTCGGATACTTCATGTACTTAAAGTTTCTCTATTGGTCCCCCTCTATTGGCGTCACTCTTCATTTTTCATGCAGAACTGAATCAGATGCTTTAGTAACATCTTGCTTGATACATCTGTCATGTCTGTTCTTCTGCTTGTTGTTTGTTTGTTTGGTGTCTCTAATTTATCTTCTTGAAAGAGATGTCAGATTTATCTGGCAGGCCCGACCTCTAGTAAATGCACGATGCATTTCTTCCCGTTTGCTTTTTCCTTCTCAGTATTTCTTGTAAAGCCTTGCCTAATGGATGGGCTGAGAATGGTCCCTGTGGGCAGCTGAGGCTCAATCATCAGTAGAGACATGGCTCTCACACCATGAGGATTTGACAGCTCCACTTTGTGGAGTGAGCAGGAAGGGTCTTGCACAATTAGCTGGGTAAATGAAATAGCTCCTTGTAAAGTCTAAGGAAGATGATGTCTGGTGTTAAGGTATCAAAACTAGAGCTGCTGGTAGAGAGGAGCATATCCTCGAGAAATGCCCGTGAGCTGCCAGCCTGCTGCACAAATGGATAGTATACATTTGTTCCCTGCTGTCATTTCAGTGGCACAAGCTATTGCTACTTCTACTTCTTGATCTATAAAGCTGCTGTTTCTAATTCTCTATTTTGGGAAACATTGGTGAGCTTTCTTTTTAAAGAAAAAGAAAAAAGTAAATATTTATAGGCTAATCTGCAGCAAGCCACTCTGGTCATGCAATAATCATTACCTTCCCGTCCTCTGTGGTGCTTCTGCAAGAAGCCCCTCTCCCTGGCAGGGAGGAGAGAATTGATGTGAACCTTTTGGAACTTAAATTCCACAATTACTGAAACTCTTCAGGATCTTTGGAGATGTTTCCTTCTACGTAGAGAATGGCCTGCACATTAGCTATGTCACTTATAGGAGTTAGACATGGATTTGTGAGAATCTCTTGTGCTTCCTGGGTTGGGAATATTGATGACTGCTAAAACTCCATCTCCTGGGGATGGAGGGCAGAGGAAGAAGGTTATCCCTTTGCTAGATACCCCAGTGTGTACCTGGAACAGAAAAAATGGTCTTTGAGTAGAGCAATGCCAATCTTTAAGACAAAATCTTTGCTTGGTGGTCATGGAGGAGGAAGAGCTCACGTGACCCTACAGATAAGGTAATTCTAGCCCACCCTTGTGAATCGGTGACTTAATTCTTTGTATGCTTATCTCTTGTATTTGTGGAGGGTAAACGTGTCTTATCTGCTTTGTTCCAGTTATAAGTTCTGCAGAGCTGCCTTTGGATGCTGATGTACAAACCAGCAACCTGCTGATAACCTTCTTGAAGTACAGCTCAATTGTGATGCAGGACACAAAAGGTAACAACTCTGATGCGGCTGTAGACACAGCAGGCAAGCTCGGGACACACAGGAACACATCTAGTGACTTCAGAAATAACACTAATGGAGTTCCTCTCAAAGAACTGAAAGTTCCAACTTTTGTCAATGAGAAAACATTTCATTTTCTCAAATAACAATTATATGGGACTGGGAGAGACCCAGTGCCAGCAGGAAAGATATAAGTGTGGAAAGAATGTAGTAACAGTAGTACATAATAACCAAGGGAGTCTTAGTGTGTCCTTATACAGGCAGTGGGAATGAAACTGATGCCAGATCTCTATCAGAGGGGGGAAACTTGAGTACCAGAGAACTGTATTTTTAAGAACCCCTGGATGCTGACATGTAAGGCAGAATTTGGTGTAGGAGGAAGTGTCTCCATTTTCCTTTAGTAGTAGCTGATTAAGCAAGCATCTCTTTAATAAAGATGGTGGCTCTGATTTGCATTGTATTTGCAGCAATTTGCTTGATCTGTGCTTTGTGTTTCTCCCAGTAGCTGTGTGGGGTGAGACTGTCTGTTTTTGGCTTGCTGGAGTTGAAGCTTGAGGATGAATTGCTTCATCATTTGCTCCAGGTTTCCAGTGTGCTCTTTTGCCCATTGGTTGCATGTGCAGGACCATACTGTGAAAATAGGTGATCTTTGTACCATACTTCAGCCTGTTACCAATATAGACTGTTTTAAGTTAGATGTGAGTGAACAGAAATAGGCAGATAGCAGAGGAGCTATGATGCACCATTTGTTGAACTTTATGGATACTCGACATTGTGTAACACAATGGGCAACTGGCCATCTTATTCCTGTCCAGTATTCCAGTATGCAAACTAGTTGCTAGCAGGTTGAATAAAACATCTTTTTTTGACCTGTGTATTCCAGGATTTAACTAACCTTATCTTGAGATTCATATGCATCCATTTTTTTTCCTGTGATTTAAATTAATTACTATTCTGCAAGATAGATGTGGAAAACAGATTATTCCCCCCCCCCTTTTTTTTGTGACAGCCTTTATTTTTGAAGTCTGCTGCTTTCATGTTTGCTCTTGCCTTTGTCTTTAAGCTCAAAATCTCAATCTTTGCTCAGTCATTTCTTACAGATCTGTGCCCGTGAGGAAGGCTTACCAACTCTCTAATTATTCTTGTTTGCCTTTTTTAAGGGTCTTTCTTGTTGATTGAAGTTTCTGAGATGGGGCTCAATTTTAGGGATTTTTTTTTCAGTGGTTATTTATTTAACTCCTGCACTTATTAGACTCTGTAACTTGGAAAGTATGGTTAGTGCCTTGGGAACTGCCAAACCAGATCAGCTTTAGGTGGAATAACCAGTAGAGAGGACTTCTACTTAAGCAAGACAACTACTGATGAGTTTATTCTGAAATGAGGCCAGAGTTGATGCTTCTTTCTTTTTCTTGATTCTAGTTTGTATAGGAAATGTATGTAGCTGATGCATCTTTAATCTCCTTGCCTTCATGTTGCTCCATGTGTCAATGAGTTTCACAGATCAATCACTTGAAAAGTGTATTGCACACTTCAATTTAATGCCTTCAAAACTGTTGTCTCTTAATTTTAGTGGGTCTATTAATTTGTTTATATTTTGACTCTAAATATGGCCCTTGCCTATTTTTTTTTCTTCTTGTGTAAGAGAAAGCAAGTGATACCAATACAGCAGGAAAGGAAAGAGAACAAATAGCTTGAACTTCCCACCTGTCTCAAGACACAAAGAGTAATGTTTAGGAGGAGGATTGGCTTGCTGCACATCCAAGGCTAGACAGTTGTTTCAGTCATGTCCCAGAGAGCGTAATTTAATAGATTGTCTTCTGATAGATCGTCCTCCCTGGTTTGTCTCTTGTGCCAGTCAGGGGGAGCTGTCTTGGGAGGAAAACAAAAATCTTGCCTGTATTTTCTCCATCTATAAAGTAGGGTTCATACTGATAGGCCTCCCACAGGAAGTGGTCTGCTTGGCCCTTAACGACAGATGCTCTGGCTGCGCAAGGCCCAGCCTGCATTGCCTGGAAGTCTGCTACAAGTGGCATGTTGTTCATGACAGGTATTGGCTGAAGGCAGAGTATTTAGTGGGGAACAGGAGCCTTTATAGCATGATCCCCAGGGAGAAGTGGTAGCAGCACCTAAAATATACACAGGGAGGCCTTACAATAGAAAGATAACAAGACTCCAGTGTATCAGAGTTCTCTGAGGCCATTTTCTTCTCCTTTGTTGGAGTAGAAAACTTTTCCTTAAAAACACTTTATCTGAGGTAAGGAGACATAGGAGAGACTTAACTCTTCCACTCCAAAATAGCTTTCTCTTACTCTGTATAGCAAGATGAAACCTGCATGCTTCAGGAAAGATGTTGTTAATAAAACTCTGTTCCTCAGCACCTTAGAACAGAAAACGAGAGGCATCAAACTGGACAGAACTGCTAGCTTCTATCTTTTCCATTCTATCCATCTATCCATTCTATCTTTTTTTTTATATATTTTGCGCACACTAGCAAGCAAAGTGTTTGTTAAGGTGAGCTGCAAAGATGTAAGAGGAGACTTAACTCTTCCACTCCAAAATAGCTTTCTCTTACTCTGTATAGCAAGATGAAACCTGCATGCTTCAGGAAAGATGTTGTTAATAAAACTCTGTTCCTCAGCACCTTAGAACAGAAAACGAGAGGCATCAAACTGGACAGAACTGCTAGCT